AATGAATGAATGCATTATTTTCGAGTATTGCCTACCACAAGCTTGAGCCCTCTTTTGAGTGTCATGGTTTACTACTGTTACATAGGTCTTTTTCCACCCTGTGTATACTTTGAAATGGAGGTGCAAAATGAAAATGTGACTCCACAAGGCTGGTCAACAAACCCCCTGAAGGTTTCTGCAGAAGATCACACAAGCTACTTTTGAGAGTACTAACTGTACTCTGATATATATATATATAAGGATCACTTGAGCCCAGGAGATGGGGTTTCACCAAGTTGGCCAGGCTGGTCTCAAACTCCTGACCTCAAGTGGTCCACCCACCTCAGCCTCCCAAAGTGCTGGGATTACAAGCGTGAGCCACCGCGCCCAGCTGAGAACTACTGTTTTAACTGAAATGGAGGGTAACTGGTTCCAAGTTCCTCTTTGGTAATCTCTGTGACTTCTAATCCTGGTTTTTGTGACATTCCAGAATATTTCTAACATGGGGTGATATGAAAAATATTTAAGTGGTACACACGAAACAGAAAGGACACTGGCTGTGAAAGTGGAACTAAACCAAGGCTTCCTGCTGAGGGAAGGAAAGAGGGGTTCTTTGGGTAGGGGAGATGCCTCCCCACTAAGGGAAGCAACAGTTTCACCACTCCAGCAGTATTTCACTACTGTTTTTTCTTTGATTTTTCTTTTTTAGAGACAGGGTCTTTCACTCTGTTGCCCAGGCTAGAGTACAGTGGCACAATCATAGTTCACTATAACCTCGAACTCCTAGGCTCAAGCAATCCTCCCACCTCAGCTTCCTGAGTAACTGGAACCACAGGTACAGCACCATGCCCAGCTAATTTTTTTATGTTTGTTTGTTTGTTTTCTGTGGGGTTTTTTTTGTTTGTTTTTTGTTTTTGAGACAGAGTTTCACTCTTGTTGCCCAGGCTGGAGTGCAATGGCACATTCTCAGCTCCCTGCAACCTATACCTCTTGGGTTCTACTGATTCTCTTGACTCAGCCTCCCGAGTAGCTGGGATTACAGGCGCCCGCCACCACACTCGGCTAATTTTTTGTATTTTCAGTAGAGATGGGGTTTCACCATGTTGGCCAAGCTGGTCTCGAACTCCCAACCTCAGGTGATCCACCCACCTCGGCCTCCCAAAGTGCTGGGATTACAAGTATGAGCCACCATGCCCAGCCTGTTTTTTGTGTTTTTTTTTTTTCAGACGGAGTCTCACTCTGTCATCCAGGTTAGCGTGCAGTGGCATGATCATAGCTCACGGCAGCCTCAACCTCCCAGTCTCAAGTGATCTTCCCACCATAGCCTCCCAGGTAGCTGGGACCACAGGCACATGCCACCACACTTGACTAATTTTTTTTTATTTTTTGTAGAGACAAGGTTTGGCCATGTTGTCCAGGCTGGTATCCAACTCCTGGCCTCAAGTGATCCTCCCACTTCAGCCTCCAAAAGTGCTGGGATTACAGGCATGAGCCACAGCACTTGCCCATATTTCACTACTTTTAACAACTGGTACATATTGGCTGAATAGCAACAACCTCTCCAACTATCTCATAGGATTTGATAAAATTATCAAACAAGATTACATAATCTTTAAACAGAAACGTATAATGCAATATTAGCAACATAAAAGTCAGTGCCATATAATCAAACATTTAAAATGGGGGTAATTCCATGAAATTTGTAAATTTTTTTTTTTTTTTTGAAACGAGTCTCGCCCTGTCACCCAGGCTGGAGTGCAATGACGTGATCTCAGCTCACTGCAAACTCTGCCTCCGGGGTTCAAGTGATTCTCCTGCCTCAGCCTCCCAAGTAGCTGGGATTACAGGCGCGCACCTCCACGCCCTGCTAATTTTTGTATTTTCAGTAGAGACGGGGTTTCACCATGTTGGCCAAGCTGGTCTCAAACTCCTGACCTTGTGATCTACCTGCCTTGGCCTCCCAAAGTGCTGGGATTACAGGCGTGAGCCACCGTGCCCTGCCCGTAAATTGTTTTTTAAAGTCAAAAACAGTATAACCTATGTATCCCCTCACTGGTTCTTTTTCCCAGTTCTGTAATACTTTGAATTCACTTCAAAAGTGATTTCTTAGGCCAGGTGCGGTGGCTCACGCCTATAATCCCAGCACTTTAGGAGACCAAGACAGGCGGATCAATTGAGGCCAGGAGTTCAAGACCAGCCTGGCCAACATGGTAAAACCCCGTCTTTACTAAAAATACAAAAATTATCTGGGTATGGTAGCACATGCCTGTAATCCCAGCTACTCAGGAGGCTGAGGCAGGAGAATCACTTGGACCCAGGAGGCAGAGGTTGCAGTGAACCGAGATTGCGCCACTGTACTCCAGCCTGGGCAGCAGAGTGAAACTCGTCTCAAAAAAAAAAAAAAAAAAAGTAATTCCTTAATTTCTCAAAGGGCAATTCTGTACATGTCAAGCAAGCCACAGATAAGAAAAACGAGGCTGGGAGCAGGAGCTCACGCCCGTAATCCCAACACTTTGGGAAGCCCAGATGAGTGGAACATTCGAGCCCAGGAATTCAAGATCAGCCTGGGTAACATGGCCAAACCTCCTCTCTACAAAAAAAATACAAAAAATTAGCCAGATTTGTTGGCACGTGCCTGTAGTCCCAGCTACACGGAGGCTAAGGTAGAAGGATCACCTGAGCCCAGGAGGTCCAGGCTGCAGTGGACCATGATCACACCACTGCACTCCAGCCTGGGTGACAGAGTGAAACCTGTGTCAAAAAGAAAAAAAAAAGAGGGCCGAGCGTGGTGGCTCACGCCTGCAATCCCAGTACTTTGGGAAGCCGAGACAGGTGGATCATGAGGTCAGGAGTTCAAGACCAGCCTGGCTAATACCGTGAAACCCTGTCTCTATTAAAAATACAAAAAATTAGCCAGGCATAGTGGTATGCGCCTGTAATCCCAGCTACTCAGGAGGCTGAGGCAGGAGAATTGCTTGAACCTGGGAGGCAGAGGTTGCAGTGAGCTGAGATCCCGCCACTGCACTCCAGCCTGTGCAACAAAGCAAGACTCCATCTCAAAAAAAAAAAAGAATGAAAAGAAAAACGATACACACAAGCAGGGCTGATGCCATCGGAACTTGATCTGCCTGCTGAGTATGCAGTACCATGTCACCCACCTTCTATAAAGTGACTGGCTGTCTCTACGCAAATTCTATATATTTCCTTAGTTGTATCTTGCCTGTCTCTCCACTAGAATATATATTCTTGAGGACAAGGACATGTTGTAGGTCCTATATTCTCAACATAGAACAATGCCTGGCACCTAACAGGCACTCAATATTGGGTGAATGAATGAATGGCTATTTAAAAACCATACGCACTGTAGCTGGACTTAAGGTACCCACGGGAAAGGCAATTAAGGAACTGACCTAAGAATGATGTTGAGAAAGAAAACCCAAACTACCATAAGTTAGAGAAACCAGAGTATATCCTGCTTAACTCTTTTTTTTTTTTTGAGACAGAGTCTGGCTCTGTCCCCCGAGCTAGAGCACAATGGCACGATCTCAGCTCACTGCAACCGCAACCTCTGCCTCCCGGGTTCAAGCGATTCTCCTGCCTCAGGTTCACAAGTAGCTGGGATTACAGGCATGCACCACTACACTGGCTAATTTTTTATATTTTTTGTAGAGACAGGGTTTCACCGTGTTGGTAAGGCTGGTCTCAAACTCCTGACCTCAGGTGATCCACCAGCCTCAGCCTCCCAAAGTTCTGGGATTAGAGGCATAAGCCAGTGTGCCCAGCTCTGCTTAACTCATATTGGTCCTGTTCAATACCTGGTCATATGACACATTTTTGGGTTTTTTTTGGTTTTGTTTTTTTTTTTGCCCCTCAAGATGGAGTCTTGCTCTGTCACCCAGGCTGGAGTGTAATGGCGCGATACTGGCCTCCAGTACCTAAAACTATAAACCAGCATAAAAATTAGCATGTGCCAGCCGGGCACAGTGGCTCACACCTGTAATCCCAACACTAGGAGGCTGAGGCGGGAGGCTGAGGCTGATCACGAGGTCAGGAGATCGAAACCCCATCTCTACTAAAAATACGAAAAATTAGCCAGGCGCAGTGGCAGGCACCTGTAATCCCAGCTACTGTGGAGTCTGAGGCAGGAGAATCACTTGAACCGGGGAGGCGGAGGTTGCAGTGAGCCAAGATGGCGCCACTGCACTCCAGCCCGGGCAACAGAGCAAAACTCTGTCTCAAAAAAAAAAAAAAAACTAGCACATGCCAACAGCTTTAAAAAAAACAGATTGTACCCTTCAAAATTAGACTGGCTATTTTATGTTACTCTTCCTGATTACCAAAGCGATGCATATTCACACATATAAAAAAATTGTTTAAATATAGAAAAGCATAAGGACGAAAAGGAAGCACCTGAATTCTTACTACCCAGAACAGTGCTAGAATGTAAATTCTTGGAATATGGAACTTTTACTCTACTTCAGGCTGTTGGTTCACTGAAAACATGTCACTATTAAAGCCCATTTAAGTTTTCTGATCCTTTCTACAAGCTCTTACACACATTATCTCATTCATATACACAATGACCAGCATAGCACAGAGATTAAGAGTGAAGACTCTAAAGCCAGACTGCCTGGGTGGCAACTCCAGCTATACCACTTATGATGTGGGTGAACTTGCCTCTTAAAACCTCTCTGCACCACCACCTTCTGCATCTGTTTAAAGAAGCTAAAAACGGTACCTACCTGAGTAAGTTATCATAAGAATTCAAGGCATCTAACAGCATCTGGCAACACTAAAAAAGCATTTGCAAAATACACTTTGGAAGCAAAAATAAACCAACCTTTCAATTTCCAAGCAAACAGTCTGCATGGTTTCTACAAAACATTTTGCCTAACAATGTTATAAACAGGCCTTGCAGTGAGGTAGAAAATGCTTACAAGAAATTATAATTCCTCAAGTTCATCAAGTTTAATTTAACCTAAATTAAAAGATCTTAGGTTAAATGGAAGGAAAAAAATTACCTCATGAACTTGTCTAACACGTCCTCTACCCACATGTGCATACGGAGGGACTGAAATCCATAGCGCCAAACTAATTTAATCACGTTAATTATGAACCAGTTGCTCTCCTCAAATACCAGAGCCTCTCCATTATATATCCCCAGTAGGCCACCAGAGGCCTGAACAGTAGAGAGACCTGCAAAAACATAAAGCGCAGCTAAGTCAGTGGTGTCTATGCTGACCAAATGAAAGAATGTAATCTGAGTGAATTTGGGGCTTCCCTCAGTTCTCCAGAGACACATAAAGGAGCTCTATCTTTGGACAGTGTGAAACACTATACTTTCACTACACTGTCCAAAAGCAGATGTGCTAGGCGATGGGTCAGATGATCATGTAAATATTAATATATCAAAAGTAGATATATTTTTACCTGGCTATTTTTTAGTCTTAAAAAACTGGATAGTCAAAGGAAAAAAGCCAGAGTAGCAATTGAATTCAATTTAAAAACAAAGATGTCAGACATGTATCTTCATGGCATAATTTGTTCTGGGTATACCTTTGCCCTCGTGGAGGAAACTGAAGCAGAGGCAGCATCTACAGAGGATGTGGAAGGCAGCTGAGGGGAAAGAGGCACTTCCATTCCTGTGAGAATCCTATTTTGCAAAACTGGATATTTCACATAACTGGAGGGAAGCCAAAGTTATGAAATACTCTCTGCCGAAAGGGCCTGCAGTGGCCTGTCAGACTTTCCCCATGACCTATCCAGCTCCTCTGCTGTCAGGGTAGCAGTTGCACGTCCCAAGTTCTACGCACATGTCTGCATCCACAGCTGTGTGAGCGAGTTTGTTTTGTTTGTGGTGGTTTGTTTTGACAGGGTCTCACTTTGTTGCCCAGGCTGGAGTACAGTGGCACAATCAAGGCTCACTGCAGCTTCTATCTCCCAGGCTCATGGGATCCTCCTGCCTCTGCCTCCCAAGTAGCTAGGACTACAGATTTGTGCCATCACACCAGGCTAATTTTTTTATTTTTAGTAAAGACAGGGTCTCACTATGTTGCCCAGACTGGTTTCTAACTCCCGGGCACAAGTGATCCTCTGCCTCGGCCTCCCAAAGTGCTGGGATTACAGGCATGAGGCACTGACCCCGGCCATCGCCATATGTGAGTGACTTTGAGCCAGACACTTCAAGACTCTGGGTCTCATTTACCCAGCTGCAAAATGATCACAATGAGGTGACTATCTCCAAACCTTCTCTGATTCTTTAACACAAGTTTAAGAAGTCTAAGAACAGACAACAGAAGCCAGGCACAGTGGCTCACCCCTGTAATCCCAGCACTTTGGGAGACCAAGGCAGGCAGATCACCTGAGGTCAGGAGTTCAAGACCAGCCGGGCCAACATGGTGAAACCCCATCTCTACTGAAAATACAAAAATTAGCCGGGCATGGTGGCGTGCACCTGTAATCCCAGCTACTGGGGAGGCTGAGGCAGGAGAATCGCTTGAACCCGGGAGGCAGAGGTTGCAGTGAGCCGAGATCGCACCATTGCACTCCAGCCTGGGCGACAAGAGCGAAACTCTGTCTTAAAAGAAAAAAAAAGACAATGGCAGCCATTCCCACCCCCACCCTATGGCTGTAATTCCAGATAACTAGTGATGCAGATAACTAGTGTCCCATTACAGCAGAACTGCTCCTAACTAAGGCAGTACCAACTAACAAGAAATTGAGGAAAACAGTTTTACCAACGTCTCTGTAAGGCAATTAACAAGGCAGAAGTTTCAGTTCTCCATCTGATAAAAATATCTGGGGATGTCACACAGTAATCTGGTGAGCTCCAAGACCAAAATTACATACCCAAGTCTTTGACAAAACGCTTCATGTGCAGATTTAAAGGATGGATGACAGAACCTCCTGCCTCATATTCTTGCCCCTGCACCATCATGGTAGCCAGACGGCCCCCGACCTCTTCTCTTTCAAACAGGTCTATCTTCACATCTTTCCCAAATTTCTGCCGCAGGTAATAGGCTGCTGAAGTGCCACCAATTCCGGCTCCAATAATCGCTATGAGGGAAAAAAACAGAAGATTATTTTTTCCCCTTTTACCAGCTCTGTGAGTTCTTTTGTTTTTGAAAGACCACTAATAGCAGAGGTTGTTACTCAAAGCTATTACCAACAATTCGGTGGGGAAGAGTGACACCTGCAGCGAAGGTCTAACTCCCTGAATCTGGACAGACACTGCCCCCAGACAAAAGCAGTAGATTAATTAACATATTGACATTAATTCGATTTTTTTTCCAGATGCTCAAAGATTCTCACAGGTCTTTATGGAGGAATCAAGGGACCTGCACACCCTTCTTGATGCCCAACTCACGGGCACATTAGAGGTCGACCTTTCCAGCACGCATCCAGCACGCATTTTTAATAAAGTGACGGCCATTTATGCCTAGCTTTGTTGTGTCTAAATTCAATGTAGAGAGGTTAATGATATCGAAGAACACGACTTTAAAGGAGGGCGGGAGGGAGACAGGAAGCAAAAAGCCAAGGCTCCTGACACTGGAAAGAGAATATAGATTCTTTCTGTGGTTGTGTTAGTCCTAGGCAGAGAAATTGTGCAAGCCAGGCGCCTCTGAGAGCAGGCCGACCTCAGCAAAGCGAGGCTGGGGGAAAGGGGTTCAGCCTCCCAAGGGGAGCAGACAGGGTCAGCTTGTTTTCACTCCTCCCTGTGCTGTGTCTGCGTGAGCCTGCAATCTGACCGAGCGCCCCAGGTCGAGCCAGAACACTGGACTCTTCACCCTCAGTGTTCAAAGGGAAGAAAGAGGAACCTAGGCCTCCAAGGAGCCCCAGGCCTAAGAGACAGGAGCTACAGGTACGCTAGGCGCCTGCCTGCCCGCCCGCCCGTCCCCGTCCTCTCCCATGCCTCAAGTGGGCACCTCTCCACGCCTGGGAATGCACAGTCCTATTCCGAGCAGAGCTGAAAGCCGCCCTGAGATGTGAATGGGGGAAAGCGCGACCTGCGCGGCTGACTCGGCCTGCACCGCTGGCCTGCGTCGCGGCTGTGGGATCTGGGCGCACTGCGCAGCGGCCGCCCGGCGCGGGGCGCGCTCCAGCTCCCTCCCGCGCCTCCACCTTCTCGCCTACCGATTTTATCTGGCGGGGCACGCAGCTCGGCGCCCTCGGGGCATCCGCAGCTGCACAGCAGCAGCCACAGCCCCAGCAGCGAGGAGACTAGCTCCGCGACGGCGCGCCCCATGGCCTCCACAAGCTCTGCAGCTAGCCTGGAGAGCCCCGCAGTCCTCCCACAGCTGCGCGGCTGCGCGCTCCGCCCAGCCCCGCCCCCAGGCCGCCCAGCCCTTGCGAGCCCCGCCCCGACCCCGCCCAGGCGCCTCGCCCCGCCGGTCCCCTTAGTCCTGCAGGAGCTCCCCGCTCTGGGCTACTCAGTGCCCTAAGCACCCTTCCGCCTCGAAGCCCACCCTCCTTCAGAAGACGTCGAAGGCAGAAGCTGAGGCTCGCCTCAGCTCTCCTCCTCCCTCCCTATTCGGCTGAAGCACCTTGGTTCTTCACTAGTGCCCTCTTCTATCCCCTCCGTCGCTCCTAAGAATGCACACAGCTAATCGCTGCCAGAAACAGACCAAAGGGACAACAGTACTTACTGAGTGATCACCCTGTTGCGAGAACTGTCGGGTACGCAGTGAATGGGTAAATGGTGCTAGTTGAAAAGAAAAATGAGGGAGACTGAAGATAGGGTGGCCCAAGGTGAAGGGGGTGGAATAATAGTAACAGACATGAATAAAAGTAGTGTACCTGTAAGGACACCAGAATGTGCCACCCCAAAATACGCCTCTTTAGCCTAAGGATTATTTCAAGACGAAGACAGTTGAGAAGAAGTAGATACGTAGAAAGTTCTCCGCCTTCCCCCATTTGCCTAAAAGCAGGACACAAATTTTAAAAGGCAAAGGTATCCCTCTTCCCGCACAGCCTGGAAGGACAAAGGTTAATCACTGAAGACAATTTTACGCCTGTTAAATAAAATTTATAGGAAGCCATTGGTTTGGACTGAGCTCCTGCACCAGACTAGGCCCAACAGACTAAACCAAAATGGAGGCACTCATGTCACACATGTTCCACATCACAAGGTCAAAACTAAGTTGTCAATCTGACTTTCTAAGAAATCAGGAGAAAGAAAAATAATAGCCAGATTCCCAAACAGATCAGTTTTAAGTGGCATGATAAGGAAATACCCTCTGCTTTAAACTTTACAAGGAAAGTAACCTCAAAACAACCAATTCACTTTTCTGTTTCTGCTTTCTTCAGCCCTTTCTGAAAGTTAATCTCCTCCACTCAACTCATTCTGTTTTATAGAATGAGGTGTTGCGCAATTCTATCATCGCATAAAAGCCAGTTATGCTCTTTAAATTAGTTGTAATTTTGTCTTTTGACAAACCTTTATCAGCCAGGAATCTACATGACAAACTTCATTAATGAGCCTTTTTCTATTGCTTATTTGCCTTCCCATAATTTGCCACCCCTAGAGACTCAAAATCATTTTCCTTCTCTTAACACTTCTCTTTTTTGTTGTTTTTTTGAGACGAAGTTTCTCTCTTGTTGCCCAGGCTGGAGTGCAATGGCGCACCCTCACGGCAACCTCCGCCTCCTGGGTTCAAGCAATTCTCCTGCCTCAGCCTCCTGAGTAGCTGGGATTACAGGCTCGCACCACCACACCCGGCTAATTTTGTATTTTTAGTATAGATGGGGTTGCTCCATGTTGGTTAGGCTGGTCTTGAACTCGCAACCTCAGGTGATCCGCCCGCCTTGGCCTCCCAAAGTGCTGGGATTACAGGTGTGAGCCACTGCACCCGGCTCTCTTAACACTTCTCTAAACATATGTTGTTCTTTTTTGAAGATGCTGTATAATCCTGAATTCAAAGCCACCTCTTGGAGATTTGCTCATTTCCCTGGTCTCTCTTTTGAATACATGACGTACATGTTTTTAAATTTCTGTTTTTCTTTTTTTTTTCTTTCTTTCATTTATTTATTTTGAGATGACTTCGCTCTGTCACCCAGGCTGAAGTGCAATGGCACAATCACGGCTCACTGCAACCTCCTGCTCCTGGGATCAAGCGATCCACCCACCTCAGCCACCAGAGTAGAGTAGCTGGGACCACAGGCATCCACTACTATGCCCAGCTAATTTTTACACTTTTTGTAGAGATGGTTTTTTGCCATATTGCCCAGGCTGGTCTGGAACTCTGGACTCCCAAAGTGTTGGGATTACAGGCATGAGCCACCATGCCTGGTCCTGTTTGTTTTCTTCTTGTTAATCTATCTTTTGTTACAGGGTCTATCACAACCAAAAACTCAGAAGCGTAGAGGAAAACTCTTTTTTCTCCCCTACATACCATACAGTAGAACATTATGCATGCATTAAAAAGAAGCCAGGCACCGTGGCTCACCCCTGTAATCCCAGCACTCTGGGAGACAGAGGCGGGCAGAATATCTGAGGTCAGGGGTTCGAGACCAGCCTGGCCAACAAGGCAAAAACCCGCCTCTACTAAGAATACAAAAATTAGCTGGGCATGGTGGTGTGTGCCTGTAATCCCACCTACTTGGGAGGTTGAGGCAGGAGAATCACTTGAACTTGGGAGGCTGAGGTTGCAGTGAGCTGAGATCGTGCCACTGCACTCCAACCTGACAGGCTGGTCTCAAAAAATAAAAAGTAAGAAAAAAGAATGCTGGGGCTTGGTGCAGTGGCTCACACCTGTAATACCAGCACTTTGGGAGGCCGGAGCAGGCAGATCATCTGAGGTCAGGAGTTCGAGACCAGGCCTGCCAACATGGTGAAACCCTGTCTCTAATAAAAATACAAAAATTAGCCAGGTGTGGTGGTGCACGCCTGTAATCTCAGCTACTCAGGAGGCTGAGGCAGGAAAATTGCTTGAACCCAGGAGGCAGGGGTTGCAGTGAGCCAAGATCATGCCACTGCACTCCAACCTGGGCGACAGAGTGAGACTCTGCCTCAAAGAAAAAAAAAAAAATTGGGTCTATAACTAGTGTCCTAGTATTATCACTTGAGAAAAGCTTGTGATTGCATGATGGGTATAAAATGATCTCATTTCTGTAATTACAATACTTCACCCAAACAAACAAAAAAGAATAACTAGTACATGAACATGAATAACAACATAGATGAGAGGAAAATAGGTTGGCTACAAAATAAAGTTAAAATTCGAGAAAGAGGCTAGGCTCAGTGGCTCACATCTGTAATCCCAGCACTTTGGGAGGCCAGGGTGGGCGGATGGTTTGAGCCCAGGGTTCAAGACCAGCATGAGCAAAATGGCAAAACCCCATCTATATGAAAAAATATTTTAAAAATTAGCCTGGCATGGTGGTGTGCACCTGTAGTCCTAGCTACTCAGGAGGCTGAGGCAGGAGGATCACCTGAGCCTGGAAGGTAGAGGCTGAGGTGAGTAGTGATCACGGCACTGCATTCCAGACTGGGCACACAGCAAGACTCTGCCCCCCAATCTCCAAAAAAAAAAAAAAAAGATATATGTACCAGAATACAGCTGCAACATTATTTGTAATACAATAGGTTTTTAAAAAATAGTAACCTGAATATCCATCAATGTCACTATGGTAATTTATTCAATTTACCATCCAATACATTGTGGAACTTTCATTTGATGGACGATTTTGCAACTATTAAAAAACTATTAAGCCAGGACTGGGCGCAGTGGCTCACGTCTGTAATCCCAGCACTTTGGGAGGCCGAGGCAGGCAGATGACCTGAGGTCAGGAATTCAAGACCAACCTGGCCAATATGGTGAAACCTCATCTCTACTAAAAATACAAAAATTAGCTGGGCGTGGTGGTGGGCGCCTGTAATCCCAGCTACTGGGGAGGCTAAGGCAGAAAAATCGCTTGAACCCAGGAGGCAGAGGTTGCGGTGAGCCAAGATTGTGCCATTGCACTCCAGCCTAGGAGACAGAGAAAGACTCTTCTCAAATAAATAAATAAATAAGTACTTGAAGTACTTGTGCAATATCCATATAATGGAGTTTCATTTGGGAATAAAAAGGAATGAAGTAATGATACATGTTACAATATGGATGACCCTGAAAAGCATAATGTTAAGTGAAATAAGTCAGTCACAAGAAACCATATATTGCATGCCTCCAATCATATGAAATGTCTAGAATAGGCAAATCTATAGAGGCAGAAAGACTAGTGGCTGGGACATGGACTGGGATGAGGGTCAGGGAGTGACTGCTAATTGCTAAGGGTTTCCTTTTTGAGGTGAAGAAAATGTTATAAAATTGATTGTGGTGATTCTTGCACACACACCTCTGTGAATAAACTAAAAACTATTAAACTGAAAAACGCTTTATATGGATGTCCCAAAAAGGTGTTTTAAAAATACCATCCACCATTAACATTTGTTTTATTCACCATCAAAAGACTAGTACTTGATATCTTTGAAAATAATCTGAAGAATGTGCCAGAGACTCTAAAGACAATTCCAAAAAATGAAAATCCAGAGTGTATCCATTCTGAACAAACTACTTTAAAGAGGACATCATGTTTTTGTTTTTTGGTTTTTTTGGTGTTTTGTTTTTTGTTTTGTTTTGTTTTGTTTTGTTTTGTTTTTGAGGAGTCTTGCTCTGTTGCCCAGGGGCGCACTGCAACCTCTGACTCCCGGCTTCAAGTGGTTCTCCTGCCTCAGCCTCCTGAGTAGCTGGGATTACAGACAGGTGCCACCACACCTGGCTAATTTTTGTATTTTAAAGTAGACACGGGGTTTCTCCATGTTGGCCAGGCTGGTCTTGAACTCCTGGCTCAAGTGATCTGCTCACTTCGGCCTCCCAAAGACTGGGATTACAGGCATGAGCTGCCCCACTCGGCCGACATCACATTTTTCGATGTGTAAATTCTCCTATGTTTAAAAAAGTATTTCTACAACTTAAACTTACATCACAGATATTTTCCAGTTCAACACTACAGATCTGATTAACAGCTTTTCAATAGCTGCAAAATAGTCCATAAAATGAATGTTCTGGCCAGGGGCAGCGGCTCATGGCTGTAATCGCAGCACTTTGGGAGGCTGCGGTAGGCGGATCACCTGAGCTCAGGAGTTCAAGACCAGCCTGGCCAACATGGTGAAACCCTGTCTCTACTAAAATACAAAAATTAGCTAGGCTAATTTAGGTGGTGGCTCACATCTGTAATACCAGCTACTGGGGAGGCTGAAGCAGGAGAATCGCTTGAACCCAGGAGACAGAGGTTCCAGTGAGCCAAGACTGTGCCACTGCACTCCAGTCTAGGAGACAGAGCGAGACTGTCTCAAAAAGAAAAAAGAAAAAAAGGAAAAAGAAAAAGAAAAGAAAAAGAAAAATTTCCACACATATTCGGTGTAAATTGAATAAATTACCACAAGTGGCATTGATGGATATTCAGGTTACTCCATTTTTTTCTATTACAAATAATGCTGCAGTTGTATCTTGGCACATAAATCTTTATACTTTAATTCTTTTATTTCTGTAGGATAGATTCCTAGATATAGGATTACTTTAGTGACATATATATAATAAGCAATATGAAATGCATACTGAGTATACTGAACCACATTTCAAAGCTCTAATTTCTCTGCCTCCTAAAGTTGGACCGAAGTTTATGTATCTTTTGACTTGTTTACTTTTAAGATTCTTGTGACCAATTTGCATTAAATAGTGGTTTTTGTTTTTGTTTTTTTGTTTTTTTTGTTTTTGAGAAGGATCCTCGCTCTGTTGCCCAGGCTGGAGTGCAATGGCAAGATCTCGGTTCACTGCAATCTCTGCCTCCCGGATTCAAGTGATTCTCCTGCCTCAGCCTCCTGAGTAATTGGGATTACGGGCGCCCACCACCATGCCAGGCTAATTTTTGTATTTTTAGTAGACACAGGTTTTCTCCATGTTGGTCAGGCTGGTCTCGAACTCCTGATTTCAGGTGATCCTCCCGCCTCAGCCTCCCAAAGTGCTGGGATAACAGGCGTGAGCCACTGCCCCCAGCCTAAACAGATATTTCTGAAATACTTTTCAATGTGCATTCAATACACGGAAGAAATGCAAATACAAATAAAAATCTGGCATCTGGAAATATCGTCCCCGCTCTCAAAAATTTGGCTAGCACCAACGAGGCAAATTCTTAATAAAATCTTTACTTTTTAAAGTAAAACTTTTTTTCTTTTTTCTTATTTCTTAAGTAAACATTTTAAATTGAAATTTTTTTTTCTGTACAGAGAAAGTTGAAACATCCATTCCCGTGTTTGGGATGAGAGAAGATAAATTATTTATGTTATTGGAAAACAAGATTATAGACTGTCAATAAACTTTTACTCTTAAATTAATAAATAATACATGACAATTCTTTTCACATGAAAGCCAACGTCTGTTTTTATTTCCTCCTAAAACACTCTGGCGGCAACTTATACCAACAGCGCCGCTGGTGTAGTGGTATCATGCAAGATTCCCATTCTTGCGACCCGGGTTCGATTCCCGGGCGGCGCAAACAACTTTTGCTTCTCGCTCTCCAAAAACCAAATAGCTTGAAGAGCCTTTATAAAAACCAGATAGCTTGAAGAGTCTTTATATATCTTTCCTCTTTTGGAAAGATTTAGGCTTTTTACTGTCCCTGAAGGTTTCCACTCCATTATAACTCGCGGTTGAAACACTAGAATCCGCAGCCAGAAGACAAAAAAGTTCACGCAAGCCTTGAAGTACTTAACCCTTGCGCCTGCGCAGCCTGAGCCGTCCCTAGCGTCGGGTGGAAGAGCGGCTGCGCAACAAGTGAACCTATGGATTGAGGTGTAGTCTGGCTGCCGGGAGGTTGAGCGTGCAAGATTATTCTGCGCCTGCGCTGCCCGGGTAACTTCCCTGGCTGCTCCTAGGCGTCCGGCTAGCCGCCATCTTGTATTGGGGCTTCATTGTTCCCGCTGGGCCGGGAGGTTTAGTGTAATTGCCGTGTGAGAAGGAGGCGGAGTAACCTCTGGTCAGCCGAGAAACCCCGCTATCCCGTAGCCATAACCGCTCAAACGATTTGGGAGGTAGTGAAGGGCAGGGAGTTGGACCCGGAGGCGGCGCCGCGACAGCAGCAGCCATGGAGGACGAGATGCCCAAGACTCTGTGAGTCTGGGGCAGCGATGAGGGAGGCGGGATGGTGGTCGTCCCGGAGGGAAGGCCTCGGCCCTGCGCCGCTCCCAGCCTATTGTTCTCCGTGGACACCGCCATATCGTGGTTTTTGTTTCCTTAGCATGCACCTGAATGCTTAGAACCAAGACCCAATCTGTGAGAGGACAAGGTGAAGGGAGACCGGGCTCAACCCTTTCAATTAATCCCTTCACTTTAGCTACACCATTGCTTGACCTTTGCTCTCGCCGCGGGCCCTCCGTGGTCTTAGACCTGGAGAAAAGACTTTTTCATTCAGATCTCTTTTTAGAACTTGTCGAACCTTCCTTTTGTCCTATGCTTTCTTTCCTTCTCTTTTCCCGCTTCTCCCCCTTTTTAATTAACCTCTTCTTATCTTTACAGCCGTCTTCCTTTAATTTTACTTTTGATTTCCTATTGAAATTCTTCCTTTCATTTTCTTCTCGGTGATAAGATTTTTTCCCCCCCTTGAGGCTGCTTGTACTCATTTTCAGTGCGGTAAACTTTATTCTTGCAGTTGACATTGGAAAAAAGCCAAGCATTTTTCTTTAACCTCTGGCTTTCCTTCTGTAGCCCCCCACCGACCAAAAAGCCTAACCAGACACTCCAAGGATTTGGAAATCTCACCCAGAAGGAATATATCAATTGTGGGGAAATTGATTTAATATTATTTTTATAGTCGCTTGCTACTGTTGTGATTGACATGGTGTTGAACGAGCGGGCCGTTTTTATGAAGCAACAATTGATAAATGCCGTAACATATTTACAGAGAATTTTTAGAGTTAGCGTTAAATTATCGCAGCGTGGATATTTTCTTTGTCGTGTGGCTTCCCCCACTGCGTTCTTTGTTTTTCAAAGTATTATCGGATGAGTTGATCCTGCCTTTGTTGGCATTTTTCGGAAAGAGAAAAGCTCAATGAGTTCTTGACATAGCTTTTTGTTTTTCTTGGATGACATAGCTTTTTGTTTATATTCTTGGAATACTGGCAGTTTGAGAGCTCCATGCATTAAAAATGCAATTTTAGGTTTCTCTTTGCAGCTTTCTAGATAATGAAGTTGCTCTGAAGTACGATGTCGTTGTTTTTTTTACCTCCAAAATTTTTCCACTTTTAAGTTACTATTTCTTATCTATATTGGAAATGTGGTTGCACTTGTTTTCTTAATAGATTGTCAGTTAATCTGTTAGTAACCTTGAAATTTCTTTTCTCTATTCCTGAGGCTCAAAAAGTATCTTTTCAATAGGACGTAGCAATTAGTGCATGACCTTTGTTTTAGGAAATATTGTATCTGTAGATGAATACTCCCTAAAAAACTAACTAGCCTCACGGTGTTGGTGGAGTCTCTTCCCCCTTGCCTCTTAGCTACGACAGCCATCAGCATTTTGGGTTAAGGCACTGCTCGTGTTTTATGATGTAAACTTAATATTCTTCGTTTGAAAATGTTTAATTTTAAAAACTGCCAGAAGCATCTGACCACGTAACTTTTTAATTTTGTTTTTACTTTTTAATTTTTTGAGATGGAGTCTCAGTTTGTTACCCAGGCTGCAAGGCTAGAGTGCAGTGGTCCGATCTCGGCTCACTGCAACCGCCACCTCCTGGGTTCAAGCCATTCTCCTGCCTCACCCTCCCAAGTAGCTGACATTACAGGCGGGCACCATGCCCGGCTCATTTTTGTATTTTTAGTAGAGACGGGGTTTCACCATGTTTGCCAAGCTGGTCTCGAACTTCTGACCTCAGGTGATCCGCCGAGCTCGGCCTCCCAAAGTGCTAGGATTACAGATGTGAGCCACATAGCCTGGCCTGTCCTCAACTCTTACCTATTACATTTATGACTTATTTTGCCTTGTATCCCTCACTAAAACACCCCATCCAAGAAACTCTTCCTCAAAGTAGTCATACTGTAAAAGTCTCTTGTTTCTACCTCCCTCAACCCAAACTCCCATTTTTCCAGTCAGGCAAACCTTGGCTAAACATGAGGGTACTAATCCCTAAGTTTTCCTAGTAGTGCTTTTAATTTTAATGTAAGATTTTTGCTTTAATGACCCTGGAAGTCAGAGGCTTTTAATATATGTTCTTAACACAGTTCTTAGCACATTAAAAACACAGAGCCTCTTAATATATATTCTTAGTCTGGTCCATGGTAAGTGATCAATAAATTTGTTTAAGAAACTGGTATAATTGGCTGGGCACAGTGGCTCACGCCGGTAATCCTAACACTTTGGGAGGCCGAGGCGGGTGGATCACCTGAGGGCAGGAGTTCAAGACCAGCCTGGCCAACATGGAGAAACCCTGTCTCTACTAAAAATACAAAAATTAGCTGGGCATGGTGGCCATACCTGTAATCCCAGCTTCTCAGGAGGCTGAGGAAGGAGAATCACTTGAACCCGGAAGGTAGAGGTTGCAGTGAGCTGAGGTTGCGCCATTGCACTCCAGCCTGGCGACAAGAGGGAGGCTCCATCCCAAAAAAAAAAAAAAAAACTGGTAGAATTTCAAGCAGTGAATTAAGATTTTTCTTGAGGATAAAATAGAGTCTTAAGTTTTTATCACCCGCATACCTAAATGGCTCACTGGAAATTCCTTCATTTGCTACATCTGAGTGTTCAGCATCTCCATGTTAAGTTAGAGAATACTAGTATTTGATTTGTTGTCACCAATACTTTGAAAACATATTCTGAGACAAACTTCCCTAAAGTTTATACTGCAAGATTATTTTGAGGAGTATTCAAGGTACAGTTAATAAGTTCAAACATTTGTAGTGAGCGTATGAGTGATGTATACTACTATTCTCTATTCATGTATAAATTTGAAATTTTCCATAATAAAAAAATAAAAATACATGTATAGTAAGTCTGAATTGGCCTTGGTCACTTTAAAGATATTCAACTTGTGAACTAAAAGCTACACACTGGACTAGAAAAACATTGCTGGTGTTAGTTGATGAAAATTAAGTCCCTCAAATCCAGACACCTTAATATCCTTTGTGTGGTTTACTCTCAAATGCACAGGTGCTCTCTTTTGAGATAACTGTACTGTTACTGTGTGGCTTTCACATTTGCTAAGAGTGCAGATATATAAATTATAGACCATCTTTAAAAGTCTGCAGCTGGCCAGGCATGGTGGCTCACACCTGTAATCCCAGCACTTTGGGAAGCCGAGGTGAGTGGATCACCTTAGGTCAGAAGTTTGAGACCAGACTGGTCAACATGGCGAAACCCCATCTCTACTAAAAATACAAAAATTAGCTACGTGTGGTGACACATGCCAGTAGCCTCAGCAACTTGAGACTCCAGAGGCTCAGGGAGGAGAATCGCTTGAACCCAGGAGGTGGAGGTTGCAGTGAGCCGAGATCACGCCACTGCACTCCAGCCTGGACGACAGAGCGAGACAGAGCCCAGTTAATTGCTATATACTAATGTGAGTCTTGTCTGTCTTCTGCTCCATGGTTATCTTTCATTCTTGTTGTCTACCCCACTCTCCAAATAGTATTGGCCTTTGTAATTTGTTTGAAATAAAATCTCTTGGATTGAAATCAGACCTATCTTAAAGATTAGATTGAAGGCAAGGTTGACTAAAATGAGATATTTATTAGATAATACTTATGTTTCCAAATAACTGCTAGTAATTAAGAATATGCTAGAAACATTCATTACACACTCAGTAACTGATTGAGACGCATACTACATGGCTGTCACTCTTCTGGGAGAACTAGGGATACGGTACGTACATGTAGTAGTGCCTCTTTTAAGGGATTTATGTAAGTGGCTGGCGCCGTGTCGGTGCTCAAGCCTGTAACCCAGCCACTGTTTGGAAGGGCTGAGACGAGCAGGATCCGAGGTCAGGAGATCGAGACCATCGCTGGCTAACAACGTGAAACTTCATCCTACTAAAAAAATAAAAAAACTACAGCCGGGCGCGGGGTGGGCGGGCCTGGAGCTGAGGCAGGGAGAACGGCGAAACCAGGGAGGTGGAGCTTGCAGTGAGAACTGAGATCCGGCACTGCTCTCTCAGCCCTGGGCCACAGAGCGCGAGACTCCGTCTCAAAGGAAAAAAAAAAAAAAGACTTACATAAGTAATATGTTAGATTGTGTAAAAAGTGCCATGGAGAAAAATAATGCAGGGTATGCATGGTAAGGAGGAAGGAGTGAATATTTATAGAGAATAATAAAGGAAAGTCATCCTTTGATAAGTGACATTTGAGGAAAAAAGTGGAGATAAGGGAGAGCCATGCTTCTATCTGAAGGAGGAGCACCCTAGAAAGAGCTAGTGCAAGGGGCTCTTGGGGGCAGGGCATGCTGGTTGGTTAGCCTGAGGAGAGTAAATGTAGTAGAGGAGTAGGAAATGAGGTCAGAATGATAAATAGGAATGTTAGGGGAGATAGAAAATACCAGATTATATGGGTCCTTAAGAGGACTGTCTTATCTGAGTAGGAATGGAAGCTGTAAGTGGGTTTCAAGCATAGTAGTGGTATAGCCTATCTTAACCTTGAAACTGGCAGAAGCAAGTAGCCTAGTCAGGAAGCCAATCCAGGTTTGAGAGAAAGCAGTGCCTATAATTGTAGTTAGTGCTGGTGAAAGTGATGGGAAGTAGTTGAATTACAGATATGTTTTGAAAATAGAGCGGCCGGGCGCGGTGGCGAGAATCACTTGAACCCGGAAGGTAGAGGTTGCAGTGAGCTGAGGTTGCGCCATTGCACTCCAGCCTGGCGACAAGAGGGAGGCTCCATCCCAAAAAAAAAAAAAAAAAAAAAAACTGGTAGAATTTCAAGCAGTGAATTAAGATTTTTCTTGAGGATAAAATAGAGTCTTAAGTTTTTATCACCCGCATGATCCGGCCACTGCACTCCAGCCCGGGCGGCAGAGCGAGACTCCGTCTCAAAAAAAAAAAAAAAAAAAAAAGAAAATAGAGCAACAGGAATTACCAGTGGCTTAGATGTGGCATGTGAGAATGTCGACAATAAATGGATTTATTTTAAAATGTGTA